CGCGGCCGACGGGCGAGGGCGGCCGAGGCGCCGCGCGAGGACCCCGCCTCTCCGGGGCGCGAGGCTGCGCACGCGCAGAAGCCGGCGGTGGGTGGGGGGGTGAATCACGTGGTGCCCCATGGCCCCGCCCCCTCGCTCACCTGGCCGGCCCCGCCCTCGGAGGGCGGCCGGAGAGCAAGCGCGCGCATGCGCAAGCGACGCCGCGCCCTGGCAACCGGAAGGGGCGGCCGGGAAGGGAACATGGCGGCACCCGCGGCTTCATTGGCGGCTGCCGTGGGATGAATGACCTTAGTCAGGTGGGAATGCAAAGGGGAGGTGTTTATGATTCTGCTATTCAGACACAAAGGCTGGCTATGAACTGTCACAGCCTGATGATGCTGACCAGCCAGTGACAGGGGAATGGCAGAGGACACTCACTGCAGGTAAACAAAGAAGTGCAGAGGGGAACTGCCTCTATACCAGCAGCTGCTACAGAGGGCTCCTCTGTGCATGGGCCTAGGATGTTCTCGGTATCATTCTGGAATAGCCCCTTGGAGCAGAGGGATGAAAACTGCAGCTCCCAGGCAGACAAAACAGCTCATCAAATGTTAATGACTGTCAGGGAAAAACAGAGAATAAAGAGAATGCAATCGTGCCCTTGCAGCTCAAACCCCACAACCTGACTGTGTGCAAGGGCAGGGATGGATCCTCCATTTCAGAGAAATTCCAATAGAGCTGAGGGAGATACAGAGCATGACATGCATAATAAAAGGCACAGAACAGCTTTCTGCACTGGAGATAAAGGGTGCAGCTGATGGGGGTATTGCAGAGGACTATGAAACCACGAGGGGTGCGTGGGGATCCCTCCTGCACCATCTGCTCTGAGTTAAGAACAACCGACATGAAGTGAGCTATTAGAAGGCAGCTTCAAAGCAAACTAAAGAAGGCAGCAACTCACAAAGCAGCTGAATACGCTGTGGAACTACCGGCTGCAAGCTGTCATGGATGCTAAAACATGCACAACTTCAGACAGCAAGAAAATACAGAGAGAGCTGTGAGATACTGAGACACTGCATGTCTCCTTCAGTAGTTTCTGAAGTCACAGAGTGCCAGGGCCTGGGAGGGCGTCCAGGAACACACCACTGGCTGTGCCTTCTCTGGCACCCAGCGCTGGCTGGGACACTGGGAGGACACTGGTCCACGCTGGTGTCACCAATCCTATGCATTCTGGTACGGTCTGGGAATCCTGGAGCAGTTTTACTGACGAACAGGTTCACAGATGAGCTGTTAATGGTCAGACTCCACGATCTCAGTGACCTTTTCCCAACTCAGCGAGTGTATGACTGTACCATCCCTTACCTGCGCAAGTGCTGCTCAGCACTGCCTCGGACCTCCCTCGCTGGGCGCGGGGGTAGAACCACAGCTCCTCCTTCTGATCCGTGTGGGAGATCATTTCCAGCTCCTTCCAGGGAACCTGCACCGGGGGGCAGCCACGGGGCGGCTCAGACGGGCCGGGATTTACCCGACCGAGCAGGGGATGGCTCTGCGGGGGTGCGCCAGAGCCCCTGAGCCGGGGGCTGTGAGGCTGGGGGGGAACGCGGGGGGCGCCCGGAGGGGCGGCGGGGCCTGCCGGGGGTGCCAGCCTCACCGGGGGTCCTGCCCCAACCCTGCGGTGTGCCCGGCCCGGCCCCGCCGTGTCCCCTCAGGTCCCTCACCGCGCTCGGCTCCTGAGGCGCCTGAGGCGCGCTCACGTGACGGCAATGGCGGCCCGGGATGGCGGCGGCGGGGCTGAGGGCGTGAGGGCAGGGCTGAGGTGGTGGTGGCGGGCTCGGGACCCTGAGGGCTCGGGACCCGTCACCCGCTGCCCGCTCCGTCCCGAGCCTTTCCCCCGTGTGCTGGCCGAGCCGCCGGGGGTTTCCCTCAGGGACATTAGCCGGGCCTCAGGCGGGAAGGGAGTGCCCGCCCCGGGGAACGCGGAGCCTTCGGCAGAGGCTCAAAGAACCAGACGCGATGGCAGCCAGCGCTTTCTGAGGGAAGAACGTTTCCAGAGGACACCAGAGATCTGTAGATCTGCATCTGGGCTCCATGTCCTTACAGGACAGGGGTGCCCAACCTGGGCACTGTCAGCATCTGGAGCCACCCAGGTCTCGAAAGTGTTGTGAAGGGAGCAGTGGGATTGTGCTGATCTTGGGTGTGAATCTGAATTCTTAGCAGTCACACATGGTTTGGGTTGGAAGGGACCTTAAAACCCATCCCATTTTGTGAAATACAAAGCTGTGTTTCGTGTCAGGTACATACACGCAATGTGTGTAGCTGTGATTGTGATATGTGTGGAAACTGACTGTGGGACAGTTATAAAGACAATTCTAATAAATAACTGAGGAAGTAAAGCATGGAAGAAGGCCTTTGAACCTATCCTTTGTTCATCTGGGCTTGCTGGCCATGGCAGGGAATGTGTGACCAGGGCTGAGCCCGGGCACTGGGACACTCCCGCCCATAGGTGTTAGGAACCCCTTTGTTACTGTTATGAATAGAAAGTTATATTTTCTTGGTTTTGTTTTCTTGTTTTCTTGTATTTTATTGTTAAAAAACAAGTCAGACCAGTTGTTGTAAGCTATTTTCACTCCTAAAGAGTTCTTCAATTACCTGTTAATGGCTGGTGATTAACCATTGTCCCCCTGATGCTGGCCGCTTGCCAGGGAGGGACACGGGGACAGACCCTCCAGGTACGAGGAGAATGGGAGTGACATCAGAGCCAGTATGCAGATGAGAAATGCATTGCGCCCCGAATTTTTAGTTTTCCCAGGAAAACCCCTAAAATCACGAGCCAACAAGTGACCTAAGTGACGTCCAAGGATGGGAGCGTAGTCCCGTACCTGCTTGGATCCTTTTTGCTTCTCACCTTAACCTCAAAATATGTTGATTAAAGAGACGCCCTGGGGTGTTAGACAAACAAGCAGGAATCTGCTGCTCTCCCGTGAGGACGGAATCCCCAGCTCTGCCTGCAGACCAGAGGACACAGCTGCAACCTCCTCCTCCTCGTGCCACGCCTGGGAGCAGCGTCGATTTCTCCCCACCTGAGCTGATTCTTCTTAATAAAGGCATTAAAAAGGAGAAAGATCTCCTGCCCATTTATTTCAGTTATTAGGAAAACAGGTGTCCCCGAAGTCTTCTCCACCCCCAGCTGAAGTTTTTCAGAGTTCAAGTTTAGGTTTTTTAGCCATAGGCTTCCCAGTCATGTTCACACCCCCCTAATCCAAGATGGGAAGAGTAGTCTAGTTCCATAAAGTTCATGTTTTCTATACAATCCTGTGTTTGTTTAACTGTTCCATAGGAGAATGGACAGGATTTAAATTGTTTATTGTATATAATATAAATAAAAATCAGATTCTGTATAAAAAAAAATTATGTCCAAATATACAAAGATATCTAGAAATCTGCCCTCTTTTTGTGTTCTGTCCCTGTTTTTCAGTCAGCCTTTGCACACTCAGAACTGTCAGAACAGACAGAATTCAGAAGTTTTTATGCAGGTCAATATATAAAATATAACAATTTAGGGTCCAAGACTGCTCCAGAAGTCCCAGACACTTTACACCTGTGATCAGTCCAGTTTGGCAATGGGACTAATCCAGGCAGTGGGTTTAGCTCGAGCTGTGAGAAGTGCTGAAAAGTTCCAGTGGTCACTTTTCTTAAAGACATGTCTGCTGGGCGCCTTCCCGTGACATCAGGTGTCAGGGGTGCTTTTGGGAGGTGTCACAAAGGGAACAGAACAAACCCCTGACCTGTTCTGCAGCTACTTCAGAAACACAGATTTAGAGTTTTAGTAGACATTGCCAAGTGAAGCAAGAAAAAAAACCTTTTATGTATTTCCACAGCATTCCCTGCCTTAAAAGTCAGCAGTGCAAACTGTGCTGAAGAAGTGAAGATGGAAGTCACAGGGGTGTAAACAGACAGCACTTGACAAGAGTGGATTGAATCCTGAAACGTGAAGGGTGAAGCATTTCTCAGCCCAAATCCAGGGAATAGGTCCTAGCACTGAGGGAAGCACCAGCACAAAGAAAAGTTTGGGACCTAAGATCTATTGGAAAAACTTAAAGAAAAGGCACAAGAGTCAAACTGGGTGAAAAGAGGTTGCAGGTGAGCTGAGTGCTGAAGGCAGGGCAGCCATGGGGCGTTTGTGCCATCGGAGCAGGGGGCTGGCAATGGGAGTGCAGCTCCTTCTCCAGGATGTCACCCAGGATCAGGCCACGAGGAGCAGCAGTGCTCCACCCATCGCCTGCTGCCGGAGCAGCAGCTGGGAAGGGGCTTTTCCAGCCTGGCAGGGCCGGAGCAGCAGCTGGGAAGGGGCTTTTCCAGCCTGGCAGTGGTCCAGGCACACGAGTTTCAGAGGGTAGGGGTGGGCTTCACTCGGTATCGCCTCCTCTGTTTTTTATTCTCCTTCCTTTTCTGCTCCTGCTCTTTCCGGGCTCTGGCCATGGTAGACGTGATGCACTGAGAATCCAGAAATTCCAGCAGCTTTGCCTTGGAAATTTTAATGCCATTCTGTTTGAGCTCTGCGTGCAGATCAGCCAGCTCGATGGGCTCGTAGAAGAGAATCCTGTTGTACAGGGCCGTGTTTGAGCGGATGTAGCACCTGACTGCCTCCAGCTTCTGCTCTTCCCGACCTGCTGCTTGAGATGCTGGAAATTCCTCTTCCTCCTCATCAGATGTAAAAGCACAGGTTTCAAATCCATTCACAAAGGAACTAAAAGCAGGACAAAACAGAGCAGATGTCAAGGAAAGAACAGGAAAACAAGAACAGGACCAGAGCTCCCCAAATCCCTGATGGTGAAGCCCTATGACTTCCCTCTGTGGGATCACAGACCCTGCACTACCAGCACCCACAAAATGAATGAGGCAGAACATGGCAGGGCTTCTGCAAACTTCCTATCCCAGCCAGGACAGTGCTGGTCCAGCTCACCCAGCCCAGAGCTGTATGGAATTTCTGGCTCCTGGCCCTTCCCTCCTGGCAGGTTCTGCCAAGGGGTGCTGTGCTGTCCTCTCCCAACTCCAGCTGCAGGTTCTCAGGCAGCATGGAGTGCTCCATGTCACTGACCTGCAAACCAGGGATAGCAGATTTGGGCCTTGCTCATAAGCAGCCCTTTTATGTTCTGAGAATAGCTCAGTGGGAATTAGACTGAAAATCCAAAGCCTGTTTCTTTTGTAGGAGTGTGCTGACCTCCACCTGACACACTCAAGGAGGGGGCAAGGCAACTAATGCCACAGGGACAGTCACCTCTGTTTGCCTCATTCCTACCTCATCTCTGTCCTGCACCCCTGAGTGTTTTGTCTAGGACTGCACTGCCTCACCTCTGTGAACCAAAGGAGATGTCACTTCCATCCAGTGAAGAACGTGCCGACTCCTGGGATGCCGGGAGCTCCTCGCCATCAGCTGCCAGCGACTCAGATGGCATCTCCTGCTCTTTGGCTCCTTCTGGGTGATGTGTCACTCTAGCTCTGTCCTTGGGTGCGGCACAGCCTGCTCCATGGGATGCCCCATCAGCCTCACCCCTAGGGAGCCCTGCAGAAGCCTTGGCAAGCTGCTTCCTCCTGCCCACAAGCCTCGGGCCGCCGCCGCGATTCCTGCCTGCCCTGGGCTGCCTCGGGGACTTCTGTGGGAGGGGCTGGGAATAGGAGATTTCATCCTCAAAGTCAGAGTCTCCATCCTGGTGAGTGTACTGGAATATCTCCTTCAGCTTCAACACCATCTGGCGCTTTGGGAGAGCACGGACACCGAATCTGAAAGAGAAAGAGAAGGTGGGAATTGAGGTTACAGTAACGCGGCACCTTCCATTGTCACAGCAGGTTCAGGCCAGGACCTGCAGCTGGGAAAGTGTGATGTGACCTCAGAAAGCACTGGCTGGAGCTTCACCATGGCTCCCCTTCTTTCACACTGCCTGCCTGGGGAGGTAATGCTCACCTGCTCAGCTCCTTCTTCAGCTGCGGGGTCTCCATGATGGAATAAGCTGGCATGGGTGTCACTGGAGTGCTGGGGGACCTGTTGCTCCCCTGACAGGAAGGTTCTGCAGCAGAATGAAATTACTGTGATGAGAATCAGTACAGAAAGGACTTAAAATGGCTGGTAACGTCTCCTCTTAGTGGCAGAAATCTAGTATTATCTAATAATTGTTTAATACTTCCTTATTAGCTGCTTTAATTATTACTCAGCTTCATATTGGATAGAATAGTCAGCACTTTTTTCCCCCCTTAATTGGGATACTTGGTTTTCATTGACTTTACATCAGAAAACAGTTTAAACTGGGACATAGGTCACATCTGAAAATGAGGCCATCCAGGGCTTTGTTAGAACAGGCAACATTTAGAAAGCAGTTAAAACCATGTTTACTGAATTCTGTGCAGTGCTCCTTCTCCCAGGAAGCAAATTTCCTAACAGAGTCTTGATGCATAACAAAATTGAGCAAATCAAGCTACTGGGGTCTGCAGTTAGGTTGATTTAATGATACCAGTTTACTCATACTGTGAAGCACAGCCAGTCTCACACATCGTGTTCTAATCACCCCTAAAACTAATCATTTAGTATGGCATAATGATTTAATTACATACTGCAATATCAGTTACATCACTCCACTGGCAAGTAGGCCTGTGTTTTGTTCTGCTTTGGTTGTTTTTTCTCTATCCACGAACCCACAGCTTCTGCAAGGAGTACTGTCACTACCAAAGGACTGGTGGCAATGAAACACTCCAGGAATCCCACATTTAGACAGGCTCTTTCCCACAGCAAATGCCTGCACCTTCTCTGTGCCTGGCCCTGCCAACTGTTTTGCATCAGAAAGCCCAAAGACTCTTTCAGTATGTCGAGTGCATCACAGGAAAGATAATCACTAAAAAGCAGTTTAACCTAGCCCAATAAATCTAGTATCAGTACAAGCTCTCACCAGGAGTCTTGACAGGATCTGTCTGACAGGCCCCTGCTGCAGCTGCCAACCTCTGAGACAGAGGAAAAATCTCTGGAAGTTCATCTTCCTTCTCTTCTCCATTCCAGTCATCCCAGATTTTGGAGTCCAGGTAACTGGCTCTGCTGCCCACTGATGAACATGGCTCAATAGGGCTCTTCTCAGGGCACTGCAAAGTTGTTCTCCTGCCAGCAGGACTTCCTTGGAGAGGGGTGCTGCCCTGAATTCCCTGCACCTGGACTGGGCTCTCCCCCTGCCCCTGCCAAGAGCCAGGGCTGGGGCTGCTGGCCACGCTGCTCTTTGCAGGGCTGACCTGGCTGGAGTCGTGGCTGTCACCTCTGGCTGGTGACAGATACCCAATGTGCCAGCAGGCATCAACAGGGACTGGGGGCTCCTCACACAGCAGGACACTGCTACCCAGAGAAGGCAGACTTACTTCCCTGTCACTGTCCTCCAGCTCAACCACACTGATGCTACCTTCCAGTGGCTGCTCCTGGCACAGAGGCACCAGTGTGGGTAAACCTGAGATGTTGGCACATTTGCCTTCTGCGTTGGTGTGGCCAGGGGAGAGGAGAACTGGATCTACTGGAGAAACTGGAAGGGGGTTCTTGGAAAAGGATTCTGCTGCTGGGCTGCTGGGTGGGCTCCTTCCACTTGCCAAGTTCTCCACAGGCAAATCTTTGTCTGACAATGTTGTTTCATGGACTTTTATTAAATTTCCAGCCATTTCATGGTTACCATTACCTGCTGCTAAGTTCTTTGCGCTGAGTTTAGATCCTGGACCCTTTAAAAAATTAATACTTGTGACCGAAGTCTGTGTTGAGGAGCTTCTGCTTTTGCTCAGAACTGGTGTTCCTGGCACAAGCCAGGAGCTGTCTGTGCCTGGAGACATTTCATTATTGAGCCTCTTCCCAGGGCTTGGGTTTGGACTCTGTTTGATCTCTGTACAAGCACCTGTTTGTTTGCTGAGAGGAAATTCAGGGGACACCTTTACATCACCAGTTAAACACACTGTGTCTGTATTGCCACATGAGACCTGGGCTGATCTCTGCTCTGTTTCAGGGACTGATGAGTTATGGTCAGGTTTTGGTATCTCAGGACCTTCTTCCATGTCTGTACACCTCAGGTGCCCAGGGACTTCCATTTCCTTCAGAGCAGAGTCAGACTCTGGCAAGTTCTTGCCTTGTTGTAACTCCATTTCATCATCATCAGAAGATAAAACAATAACATCACCCTCCTTGATCCCCTGAGCTGCAGCATCCTGAGTCCTGCCTGCTGATGACAACACTGGGACATGTGTGTGCTTGTTTGATCCACTGTGAGGAAGCTCTGCTGGAGAAACTGTGATCTCATGTTCTGATACAGCACCCAGCTCCTTGGCTTTCTGGGAGTGTATTTCATAAGATGGCAATGATTTTTCCTCTTTGTTTTGCTTTGGTGTTGACACATGTTCCCTGGCAAACTTTCCCTCTGATTTTGGAGATGCAGGTGAAGAGCCAAGAGCAGGAAAAAGGGACATGTAAGGCTGGGGAGTTGGACTCCTACAAAATCCATTCTTACAAGGAGAGCAGTCTTTTTGTGACTTGCTGAACAGAAGTGAATCATTAAGACCAACATGTTTTTCACTAGACAACTTTCCTGATTCTTTGGTAACTTTCACAGGGGAAGGCTCACAGTGATACTCCTGAGAGGCAGAAAACAAATGTTCATAGCTGTCATTTATATCACCCTGGAAACCAGGAAACTGCTCTTCACAGTGATTTGCCTTGTCATGTGAGACCTGAGGTGATCTGGAATCCTTCACATCCTCACATTCCTCAACAGCCCCTCCTTCATTAGCACCATGGGAAGTTCCATCCCATTTCTGAGGTTTACTGTGGTGAGGCACAATAGAGGTCTGTGGATCATTCATGATCTTGCAGCTGTTTATATTCTGCATCTTCTCTTCTTGTGCAGAAAAGTCACATTTAGATCTTTCCACACCGTTGCCATCCCTCAGATCTTCGAGGCTGTTGCTTAGTGAAGCAGATTCAGGTCTCTTTAGCTCTTCCTGCTCAGTTTGCTGGTTTGTACCTTGGACTGCCTCGGTGTCACTGCAGTCTGTCCCCTCGCTCACCTCTCTTTCACCCTGAGCCATCTTCCTCTGAGTGGCAGCAAACTCATAGATTTCCTCCAGCTCTTGTTCTCCCACCTCACTGTCATCCTCCTTCTGGCACTCAGGGCTCAGCATAGCTACTTCTTCCTCATCTTCACCCACCCACATTGACTTCAAGAGGTCTTGGAAGTTCTCAGCTCTGTCCTCACAATCTTCATCATCCCTCACAGAGATAAGATCATCTTCTGAATCCACTCCAGAGGACACCTGGCTCTCTCCAGTGCTGCTTTCACACTCTGCCATCAGTTCCCTCACACCAAACCTGCAAGGATACAATAGTAACATTAGTATTTCCTCCTCCAGTATTTCTTCACCATTTGGCTGTTAGATCACTTTTATGAGCTTTGTAAGGAATTTACATGAGAATGTTGAGTTTCCTAAGATGTACAAGCTCCAGTGTACTCCTAAAATTCCAAACACCCTTTTCCAGGTGTTGCTCACATGAAAGTGTCAGGCACATTCTTCTTTTTCTGTGTTTGAGACTGACTATATGAAATCCCCTTGGCAATGGGAAAGTCCCATGGAATGGCTGGGGCTGGTTAATATCTGCCATGTGCAAGATTCCTGGCTTTTTTGAGTGACAGGGCATCTCTATACACATTTGGCAAGCCCCAACCATGTCCCAGCAACTGCTCCTGTTTCAAGCTCTCAGTGCACGCCCTAGGACCACGACTGAGAGCATGGCTGACACAACACATTAAAGCCTGAGCATCCAATACATTCTACAAGTGTTGTTCAGATGAAGTGAGAATCACATAACAGAAGTTGTGCTCATCATTTTCAACATCAGCTGCCAACAGACATCCTGAGATAAAACCCAGCCAAAGTGTGCTGAGCAGATATGAACACAGAACATCTCAGACAGTTTTTCAAGGGCAGGATGTCCTTACAGGCAAGCTCCATTGAAGATGTAGCAAAGGACCATGGAATTTGTAAGCAATGAAAGATCTCAAACTGGGGTCTGTGTGGCTGGAAGCCTGAGGGGGTTCCAAAACATGCTCAGGGTACTCACCTGGCAGCCAGAGCCTGCAGCTGGGGCCGCAGCCCAGCAGGGCAGTCGGTGTCAGCAGCATAGAGGTAGCGCAGGAAGGCGGCCACGGCCTCGGCCGACACATCGCCCAGCAGCGCGCGCCGCGCCGGCGCCGCCCCGTCCTCCTCCACCAGCAGCCCCTCGCTGTGCACCTGGGCCAAGCAAAGCAAAGTCTGTCTGCTGATGAAGCAACACAGCACCTACAGTCATCCTTGCTCCCATCAGCTCCTTCCATTCACTCGTGCCCAGCCCAGGAGCAGGATGCCAAGGTGGGCATTTACGCAGAGCTCCCGATGGGACAGGCCAGGTCCTTCCTGACCCTATGGCTGTTAACTTTAACTACTTGCCTTAGTCACAGGTATAAAAGGTGGTCTTAGAGCTCTCCACTTAGTTTTGCAATCAAATTACTTCCCAGCCCAATTTACATCTACGCCTCTCTGTATGAGCTTCATGAGGTCTGTTTTGAATTTACCTGGAAGCTGCACAGGAGCAGGCTGGGAGCTATTCAGCTTAAAATGGAACATAAGAACATAAGAACTGGGAACATAAGAATTCCTTCACTAGCCTTGCAAAAAGCAGTCAGTGCAGGTACCTCCAAAGCAAGAATGACAAAACCTCTGTGTAGATTATTTTAAAGTAGTTCCCAGAAACTTCCTATTCCCTGCTCACACTTCCCAGCTTGGGTGACAGGCAGTCACACTAAGAGGGACAAAGCAGTCTGTGCTTGCATAGGAACAAAAATGCAGGGGCAAGAAGCACTCTGAAAGCTTCCTTCATTGCTCATGGGTGGAATGCAAGAATCCTTGGCTCCCCATAGCCTCCCTGAACAGGATAAAGTAGCACATCTTTCACCACTTTGTCAGGATTTATTCTGGTTTCCTAAGCTGAAGCACCACTGCAGTCCTGAGGCAGTTGCAGTGCTGTGAGCTGGTTTTGGCACTGGCTGCTGTGGGATGGGGCAGCCTGGGCTCTCCCAGGCAGGAGCAGAAGCAATGCCAGCAGCACTCACAGCCTGAGCCGCCGCCGGGCAGCGCGCGTACAGCACGAAGAGGTGAGCGTAGAGAACCTCCCCGCTGTCCACCTGGAACTGCACATCACTCAGCTGGGGGTTGTTCACCATGGCACCAAAGTCTTGAGCCAGCAGCCCCAGAGAGGACTAGGACACAGAAGGAACACAAAGACAGGTGTTAGGTTACAGATGTCAAACACTTTCCCAGAAAAATAAGAAGGGAGTAGCCCAGTTTATCAGCACTGCTGTGCTGTGGGCCCAGCCTGGACATACCACCTCTGCCTCCTGAAGATAATCATCAGCTTTGTGAGCTTCAGATCTTCCACAGGACAAGCAGACAAGTCTAACAGACATTCCTGCTCTGTTTTCCTCTACTTTTCCACAGCCTGCCCATTGTGGAGAAAGGGCATTGTGTTGTATTCTGCTGTACTTGTGTCACAGCACATTATCACCCTCAGATCTCACCACACGTTTCCTGCTGTGGTCTAGCCACAGCCTATAGCTGGCCTCTTCATCTACTGCCTCCCACCACAATTTTAGCAAACTGTAACTTCCACTTCAACACACTTGAACTCAATTCACTAAAATCAGGATAACAGGAAAGAGGATGATGCAGGAAGGGGTAATGAGCCTTTCTTCTCTCTTTTTACTGTCTGGCCATGACAGCTGAGAAGAGCAGCTCTGCAGCAAGAATAAAACTAATGTAGGCATCCAGTTCAAAGGAATTTATGAGCATGCCACTGAAATCTCTTTTGTAAATTCCTCTCAATTTTAGAAAAAGAAACACAACTTTTATTATCATTCCAGAGCCCCTGGCTAGAATTCTGGGGAGGGCTGAGTTACCTGTGGCTGGTTATGGTGACAGTAAGGTCAGGCTTGGGGTACACTGCCAAAGACAGCAAAGATGGCAAGACAGCTCCTCTGGAGCTGCTCCCAGACAATCTCCTGAAGACTCACATCCCTCCTAGTGTTGTAGCTCTGGAGGTGGCCCTGAAGTGCTTCAGGGAACTGTGAAACACCCTCAGATCACAGCTGGGTTGAGAAACTGCCTAACTGCACATGAAAACCAGTTTATGGTTGACACCCTAATCACCGACCTTGTGCTTTTCAAACCTACTGCAGAGCTGAGGAACTGCAAGTTTTATTCCAGGAAACATCTGCAGGACATGCAGTTCCACCTGGAACAACACAGCTCTTAATTTTCTTAGCAGGTTTCTACATTAGCAGTGGGCTGTGGAGAGCCAACCTTTCGACTCGCTCCATCCAGTAAGAATTAGCAGCACACACCAGAACACTTTTCCCAGCCCTCATAGGTGGGCTAGGGAACATTCTGCATGTTGTGGCAGTGCTGTGGACTGATCTCCAAAGGGAAGACAGGAAACTCAGTCTGGAAACTAATCTGACTCCTCTTGTTTTCTTATTCTTGGCAGGTGGGATACCTGTGAGGCTGCTCTGGGGCTGCCAGCAAACACAGGCTCCAGATGTGACGTTCCAGGCAGCGAGCCCAGAGCAGCTTTCCTGCTGGTGCTAAAATTATCAGTCAGGAATGGGGAAATTAAACAAGGCCACAAACCTCCTGGCTGCTCCATTCTCTGTGCAAGGCAAAGAAACTGGCCAGAAGGCAGCTGTGAGCAGGTATGAGCTGTGTGTTGGAGAACACACCAGAACATTCTCTCCTGCTGAGGAGGCCCCTGAGACTGGACCCCACTGATGTGACCAGGGGTCTTCAGCATGGGGACCTGTTACCAATGCAGTGAGTGCATTTGCTCTACAGGGTTACACTGTTTGTGCTCATATAAAGCACAAATCTCTCCCACTCCAGCAACCCAGCTCTTCAACAACACTTCATTGGCTCAGGAAAACTATAATGGAAACAAACAGACTGAAAAAAAGACCATGCTTGTTTTGTTGGGAGCAACTGAGTTTCAACAACACTGTGAGAACAGTTTCTGTATTGCTAAAGGCCTCTGGTTTAACAGAAAAACAAAACAAGGCATTTTCCTGCTAAGGATAATTATTTTTTACACTCCCAAAGAATATCTAGAGTTTCTGTACCAAGTAGCTGGGATCCTCAAGTTGAATACCAATTCTCACCTCAAGGAATTGTCTCCTTTTAGAAGTATCTTAATCCTTTAAGCACAATATGAAAGTGTGTTGTCAGAGCATCAAAATTTATCCAGCACCAAAATGTACTTCCTTTCAGGGCATGATCATTTATTATGATCCCACTCCCAAACACTCTCAGTGCTACAGCTCCCTAACCTGCACAGCCTGGCCTTCTGTTCCTTCTGTTTCCTGGCATTCAAATAATCTCTCAGCAGGTAGGACAAGTACTGAAAAAGCCCCAGGCTCTCATGGGCATGGATGGAACAGCCCAGGTGTGCTGATCTCACCTGTGCCCATGAGGAACCCTCAAAGTCACTGTGAAACTTAAACACCACTTTGTTTCCACAGATAGGAATGGGAAATATTCCACACTTCTTTGAATTGCAAAAAGGCAACAGTTTTTAATTGTTATAGATGAATATATAAAGAGTAGAAAAAAATATAATCCTTACTTTTTTTGTGCTGCTCCTGAGGAGGCTCTTCTTCTTGGGTGGGGGCACAAAGCCACTAAGTGGGGGATCACTGGAAGTCAGTTCTTCTCCTCAGGGAAGAAAATGCACATCACAAATCACATACAACTTCCTTGTCAGACAGAATGATCTGAGAACTCCTAAGAGGATCCTTGCTGTGCCAGCTGCTCTGACCAGGCTGGCTGGGCTGAAGGCTCAGCCTCTCCCTCATGGCTTTTTGCAGGGTTTGGCCCAGGGTTGTGACAGGCTGAGGGTACCAAGCACCATTTCACTGTTATTTATATACGTTAAAGGGCCAGGGACCATTTGCTGCAGTTTAGCAGGGGAATGAGGAGAATTATATCCAAGTGCAAATGCAGACAGGTGAGCTTAGGAACCATGTTCTCTTTCACAGATAAACAGGAGACACAACAGATTCTGCTGAAGAGCCAGAGCACTTTAAGGGGGTCCACTGCCCTCAAAATGTGCAGTTGTGCACCACATGCAACTGTGAGTGGGGACATTAGAGAGTTGCCCACAGAGGAACTCCAGGTGTTGCATTTTTTCAACCCTGAGTAGGCACAGATAAACTCCAGGTTTGTGTAATCGAGGTCCAACACAAAATCATCCCTCTTGTGCATCTCTCATCCAACTGTCTCAAGACCTGAAAAGACAGTGCACAGAACAGAAAGGCTGTCCAGGTAGAATCATGGAATCACAAACTGGTTTGGGTTGGAAGGGACTTTAAAGCCCATCCAGTGCCACCCCTGCCATGGCAGGGACACCTTCCACTTCCCCAGGTTCCTCCAAGCCCTGTCCAACCTGGTCTTGGACACTGCCAGGGATCCAGGGGCCACTTCCAGCTGCTCTGGGCACCCTGTGCCAGGAACTCAGCTCCCTCATAGGGAACAATTTCTTCCCAGTATCAAATCTAAATATAAGCTACTTCAGTTTGAAGCCAATCCCCCATGTCCTATATGTCCTTGTGAAAAGTCCCTCTCCAGCTCTCTTGTATGCCCAAGATAAGCAGGAATAAAGATTTTGTTCCAGCTGTTGAACACATCCAGGCTCCCTCCTGGCAGAAAATACTTCGATTTCTTTAATTTTAAAATAAAATTTAGTATCTGCTGTCCAGGAATTCTCTTAAAAGCTGGGATTTAGGAATCATTTCAGGAATATCAGGTTGACTGTATCTACATCTCATTGCAGGAAAATGTGCCCCCACAGTATCACCTCTTGGATCAACACCAACAACCTGTGGGTGCTGCTGTGGCTCTCTGACCCAGCCCAGCTCTGTGCAGCTGAAGGAACCAGGGCAGGGCTCACAAAGCTGCCAGAACTCACCTGGCTGCTCTGCTGCCTGAACATGGCCAGTGTCAAGGTTCCACTGAGTAAGGGTGAGTCCTTCCCTGGCCAGCTCCACCAGGTCCTGCAGGGTCTGAATGTCCTTCTGGCTTGGGGATAAAAGCTGCCCATCTCCTTCAGGGCCTGGCTTGGATTCATCAGGAGTTTGGCCTCCAACCTTTGTGCAAGTGGGCTCCTGAGAACTGAGGTCAGGCTGAGTTTGCTGGGGTACTTTGGGCTGATGAGATCCCACCAATGGCTGAAGGTTCTCTGGCTTATTCTGATCAAGTGAGGAGGAAAAAAGACACCAATAAATAAGGACTTGTTTTATGTATTTGCAAAGCTCACAGTACAGTGCCTACTTCATACTCCTGAAACATCTGTGAAGGATCACAGAGCACTGCCCGGGTACAGGGGATTCTGAGGAGCAGCTCTCTGCAGTTCCATGAAGAACTATGGTCCATCTCCAGAGATGAAGACAGCTCTGAACAGAAGAAAGAAAACTACAATGGAAAATGCAGAAATGTTGGTTTCTGCAGGAGCATGTCTGTGCAGGCAACTGCCAAGCAGGGAGAAAGGATGGGGGAAAATGCTCCCAATTCAACATCTAAATATTTAATTATAGCTGGAGTTCCTGGCAAAAGTCACAGCTGAAGCTCTCCAGGTGCTTCTGTTCTGAGTTCTGAAGTGCTTTTGCAGTTACACGTAACTAAATCAAACTTTCACCTTGGACTGGGTATTTTCCAGGTTTGGTCTTCATTTTCCAAAAAATAATTTTGCTTGTTTATTTCTACGTAAAAATAGTTCAGACATTTCTGTAAATGGAAAGAATCAGAGGAAAAACACACTCTTGCCATGATTTTAAAGACCTTCCTGCTTTTTATTTTTAAACTTTTCTGGCAGTTTCTGGCTTGAATGAAAGGTCAAAACTTCCTAGAATGAAGTCCCTCTGCTCCAGCCTCAACCTGCAATAAGCCAGAGAAACACTGGGCTTTGACTAGGGAAGAAGTATTAAATAAAGCACCTAAATATGCACAGTAGATTTTGAACAGGAGCACCAAACACTTCCTCAAGGGAAGAAAGAGGGAAGAAAGAGAAGTGATACCCTTGTTGGAGAAAAGAGACTGAGAGAGCTTTGTCTGTTTCTGTGGGCACTTTTTATAAAAATACAGAGACTGGAAGAGGCATGTCCAGATGGAACCAAAATGAAAGAGAGGAACTGAGAGCTGGACCAAAGCTCCCATGCAGCAGGAGACAGTGGGATGCACAGGGAGAACCTGAGTGTAAATGCTTTGCTGTACAACTCCAGGCACTCCCACCTTCTCTGTGCTAGCAAACATCAGGTTTCAGTTTAAATTTTTCTCCCCAGTCCTTTTTGAGTGCAAGATGGGCAAAGTTCACACTAGAACTGACCAGAAAGAAGTGCCAAGTACAAAAACAAGAGCCCAGCTGCTGTAAACATGGACAAACTAATGGCACAATGAGGAGGATGGGGTCCCTTTACTCAGTACTCTCTGTTCCCATCCCTTTTACTTTCTGAAAGCTCAAAACCCATGGTTACATGAACCTTGTTCTCCTCTCCAAAAGGCAGAAATGAAAGTTCAAGATCCTCAAACCTGACTGGGGACATGGGGAGAGCAGGTCATGGGCAGTGAGTGTGCAGAGAGAGGGGATCACTGATTTACATTGCAAATCAGGAGACAGAAGGGATCCAGGGCAAGTATCAACAATAGGGCACACACATTGCAAAGAGCAAGGACAACAGAGCCCCACCTGCACAGGCTTCCAGGGTACAATTGGAGGGGTTAAGGCTGCAGTGTAGAATGACTCGGGGTCACAGGGTCCTGTCAGAGCACTGATGTTCCATAAGAAGCATTTCTTGGCTTTGCACAATGGCATGAGCCAGGCTGCTGTTCCAGATTCATCCTCCAGAATCCTACTAGTGGGCAGCTGAGGGGTGGCAGGGAATTCCACCTCTTCTGTCAGCATCATGGCTACTCTCTCCTGGATCCTCTTGTGGACCTTCTCTGGGTCCTGCAGCAGCAGAGGTGGAGGGGCACTGGTGCCTTTCCTACGCCTTTTTTTCTCTTTAAAAAGAAAAAAAACCCCAAGTAAGTAAACATTTGAACACACAGGGCAAAGGAGATAACACAGCAGCTTCTTCAGTGCTGCAATCAGTGACTACTAATGCCCAACCCCAAATCCAGCTGGGAGCACCTAGGGGCAAAAGCAGGGTTGTGAAGAGTGAAGTCTCCCCTATGGACAGCTCTCAACCCTCTCCCCAAAGGCAGTTGTCTGCCTTTCTAAACCCTTCTGCACTCTGGAATGGTGAGGCCCTGCTCAGCAGCATGTACTGAACACACATGGCACTGCAGAAAGGACAAAGTGATATGAGATAACACTGAAAAAGCTGCATTAATCCAGGCTGCAGCAGGAGAACTAGCAAAAGAGAAATAGCAATCATCTTTTCATATTATTTCTCCTCACTTCCACAGTTTTTACAAGAAACAACAGCTTGAGACTATTTTACAGATTCAAAACAACAAATCAGTGAAAAAAAGCACAGGATTCCTGAAACCCATGGACATCCTGCTGTCATTCTTGACTGCATCTGGATACTGCATATTGTTGAAGCTCTGACAGCTTAAACAAACCAGAAACAGGGCTGTCATCCCTCCTGTATCCAAGAGGGAAGTTTTGGTGGAGAGCAGCCCTGTTACTCCTGCAGTAACACAGCCTCAGACACTAACTTGCTGTAACACATACCTGATCCTGGCTTCCATTTGATTGGGAAAGCAGCCACTGCTTTCACATTTGTAACTGATTTTGCTTGCTCCTGCTTTTCTTGCTCCAGCAGAGAGCGTGACATTGCCATGGCAACCTGCAAATCTTCATCCTTAGGCTCCAGTTTGGCCCTCTTCTGTGTTTTCCTCAAGTCCTCGTTGGAGGGGCCTTTCCGCTTTGCCCTGCTGGGCTGATTGCTGAAACCCAAGAATGCAGCAGCAAGCCCCAGTTAATGTGGCTGGATCAGAGACAACAACCACTGAGTACTCCAGAGCAGCTGTTCCATTTGCTCAGAGAGATTCCCATGTCAAGCATAATAAAAACCATTCAGTACTTTCTTTCCTAGCAGAGAGCAAAGGATTTATCATTCATGGAATTTAGAGCAATTTATAGATGTCTTATTTTGGGATGTAAGCATCTGCTATCTCTACCTTGAATGACTTTTTCTACCAAAGGGGAACAAACAAGTTGAAGCAGGGAGAAAACCAGATCACCAGAAAATGCTTTCCCACCCCTCTGCTTGCACTGGGAACAGGCAATGGTCCTTCTTTGGCACAACAGGACTTAGGAGCCCCTCCACAAACTGACTCAGGCACCACTTGGAGCACTCTGAAGATTCTGCTCAAATTCAAGCAAGCAGCTCTGTACCAAGCACATTCCAAAACATCACATCTGCTTCCTCTTTGGCTCAGGATGAAAGGATGTTCTCAGGACAGCCATGAACTGAGGAGCTGAGGCATTGGCTCCACAGATCTCAGGAAAGGCTCCACACTCATACACTGCAGTTCTCTCCAGAAGCTCAAACCCATTCAGCTTTACTGAGCAATTGCCTCACAGAACACAAATCATTCTAACAAATCACTGCAAGGTTATTTACTCCCCATTTTGCTCCTGCCAGCTGGCTTTTAAAGTCATCCACCACCTGACCTCTTCTGAGAGAAATTCAGATTATTTCTCCAACTGATTGCTACATCCTCACTGGGTCATGGCTCTACTTGACCTGCTCTGGACTCAGGGTTCACCCAGTGTGTGAATCAGCCTTGCATTTACTGTTCTTCCCAACCTCCAACACCTCTCAGCCCAAAGGAACACACAGCATCTTTTTTTTTTTCCTCCCAGCTTACCTGGGACACTGAGGAGCTGCATCACCAAGCGTGGCCAGCTGCAGCTGCACTGCCTGAAGCAGCAGGTGAGGAGGCACCTCCATCTCCACAGCACAGCGCTTCAGGTGACTGAGGCGGCTCTGCGCGCTTTGGAACTGCTTCCCACAGATGGGACACTCAGGCACCACTGCTTTGCTGGAGGAGGACATCTGTGCTGCTTCCATCTCATCCAGACACCTGGGAGACAGTGGCAAAGCTATGGAGACTTTGAAGGGTCCATGCTAAGACTGAAGCCATTAATATATTAATAGTGATATTATAATAGCAAGCACAATCACTTCTAATATCAGTAACAGCCATGAACATCCACCAAAGGAACAAGAACTATGTGCCCACCACTGTGAGGAACACACATGGAACAGTCACATGGAGATAATGGTCTCAGAGGCACATTAAGAACATATTGCTCAAAGGCAAGTGCAGTGAATAACTTTGGAATCATAAAATCCCACATGGTTTGGGGTGGAAGGGACCTTAAAGGACATCTTGATCCATGTCCCTGCCATAGCAGGGACACCTTCCACTGAAAGAGGTTACTCCAGCCTTGCCTTGCAAATCTCTTGGAATAAGGAGTCCACAGCCTCTCTGAACAACACAATTCATGTGTGCCCATCACCTAATCCCTCTTCCTGCACTCATTTTAACATTCCAGCTCATTTATAAAGCCCTGTTAACAGAAAAGGGAGCAGCTAACTGACACCATGCTCCAGAGTGCAGCATGATGAGCTTCAAATAATTTCTGGCAGGCCAAAACTATATAAAAATTTGTACTTGTTCTTTTCAAAGAGATTCAGGGTATGAATTCCTGGATCTGCAGGACCTATTACAAAAGTCACTCCCTGATTAGGTAAGGACACACACAGGGCTGTGCTAAGACACCATGCAGCACTGATGATTACTGGTGTGTCAGTGCATCTGCCCATCTACAGCTTCACTCTTGGGATGAAGGCTGCTATCAAAAAATCCCTGGCTGATATAACCTTGTAATATCAACACATGATTACATGTTAATAGTTCAGAAAGCCTGACTTTCCAAAAAAACATATCTAGCACTGTCACTGTTTTGTAGCTTTTTAAAGCAGCACAAATTGTCTGAAAACAGGAACAACAGTAACCCAGAAAGCTGCAGGTGCAAACAAGGCTGATCAATGAGAGCCAGTCAGTAACATGATGCAGGACTGGACAATTTACATCACTCCTGCTATATGGAAGTGCTTGAATTAACAATTTACAGTCATTCAAATGTGTTTCTGATACTCTGTCAACAGAAGCCACAGTTTCAATTTCCAGAGAGTTGTCTGTCCATAATATATTGTGTTTGATTTTTATCACTAAGGAAATTGTTAAATGAAGGGCAGTAATTTCAATTGAGTCATCTCTCTGAGTAGCATCACATTTCCCTCAGCAAAGAGCTCAGACACAGTGACATACCAGATGCCCTTAGATAAATTTTAGCAAAACAGAGCAAACACAACTTTGTTGGCTGAAATCAGTAAATCTCAAAATTTGCATTAAGGAGTCATCACTAATGGAATCATTAAGGTTGGAAAAGACCTTTAAGATCACCAAGTTCCTTTGCAATGGCAGCTCCTCTGCCTCACTGCTAATGAAAGCAGGTTTGGCCTGGCCACACACATGCAGAAGCCCTGCGGGAAAAGGCAATCAGCCTCTTCTTTCACACCAAAACGACTCCTCAATTCAAGCCTTAAAGGTAAAGACCCTTATGCAGAACCCCTGCTCCCAGCTGTTCCATGGCTGGGCTGAGTGAGGGCTCTGGGGGCTGGATGGAAGGACAGATCCTGCTGCTGTCTGACCTGTTGACGTGCTGCTCCCGCCGCAGGGTGTTCATGGCTGTGAGATCCTTCTGGCAGATCTGACAGAAGAACAAGCCTGCATCCTCCAGGCTTGCCAGGGCTTCCTCCTTGGACTGCTGCTGAAGAGCCAAAGCCAGAGCACTGTCGTGTTCCAAGGATGGGACGTGGTGGGTATCTGGCAAAGCAGGCAGAGATGATGTAAGATGGAAAAGTAAATCCTGTATGGAAGGTGAGAAACTGGTACACTTGTCATTATTAGCATGTTAAACCAGACACACAAAAATCCATTGCAATCTTTCTCTTGCATCTTCACACCTGATCTCCACCAGGAAAGGTAGAACCTGCTCCTTTCCAACACTGCTAGACTGAACCAGCCCAGGAGCAGGAGGTGACAATTCACTCACAGTGCATCACATGTCAGAGACAATGAAGGGACAGTTTTGGCTGAAGTTTCTAGGGAAAATATGGAATTTTATACATCAAATAACACAGCAGATTTTCATGCCCATACAGTGCCAACAGGGACTCGATGTATAAAGAACCAACCAGAGTAAATTTGCTGTGAATTCCATTTATCCACACAGAACATATCACCTTAGAGAGTGCTTGCAGAGGTACCAAAGATGGGGCTGCCCAGCACTGTCCCAAGGGAAGGACAACAAAATTCACTGATCCTGTTGGAATTTCAACCTGCTTCCAAAAAGACAATTATTCCTCTAGAATTTACATGAGGTTAATTCAGCCTTAGAGAAGAGCTGGGAAAGAAGAAGTATGGATAATCCTTTAACAAAGTTTTCTCAGGGATCTGGAGTGATTTGCACAGCAAGCCACTAGGCCAGCAAGGAACAAAGCCCTGAGACCCAGGCAACCATTCTCACCAGCCACTCATCCTGCACACGCCAGGGCCAAGAGGAGACACGTACCATCCTCAGGAGGCTTCTGCTCCTGGCTCCTGGCAGGGAAATCCCTGCTGGCTGCAGCCTTTGGCACGCTCCCATCCGAGCTGTGCTTCAGCTGCTCGGGTGCCACCCTCTTGAACTGCTGCATTCTCTCCACCACCAGCTCTGCCACCCGCACCTTGGGCGTGGGTGAGGAGCAGCTTCCTGGAGGAGTAGCAGGAAGGAAGGGTAAGGTGGTCTGGGAACAGCCACTTGGAGGATTTACTAGAGGGGGAGAAAACACCAGTTTTACCAGGCAGTTTTAAACACACGCTGAGAGCTGCTGGGAGGCCCTTCCCTGACAGCAGCCAGGCTCAGTTCTGCAACAGCCATTCTTGGAGAAGTGAACAATTTGTGTAGCCACAGTAACAACATCAGGGTTCTGTGCTACAGGGACATTTAAAGACCTCTGTATCCCTTTTACAGGCAGGAATATTAAGGAAGCCTTGCGTGGTCTTCAGCAGGGACATGGAAGGCAGTCCCACAGCCCTGCTCTCCCAGCAGTCCCACCACACAATGTCCCATTCCTGACTGACCTAATTTATCAGTTTAAGGACTTCCATCACTGGTGACTGCATTCTGACATCAAGTGTAACAGCACTGAAGGACTAATCCTTTATTAATTAATCCAACACCTTTCCTAACTCATTAATGTTTTTGCCCTTGACAACATCCAGTAACAATATGTCACCATACAATGAAGCACTGAGTGAAAAAGCACCACAATATACTCTGAGCTTGCCTCTAGATGATCTGAGAATACTTTTCTCAGCTCTGATACTGCAAAAACCAGTAAATAATGACTGGCCAACAAATCACTTTGTACCAAGGCTTCACCTTACTGAGGAACATCTGCCTGCAGCACAGAACCCACTCCTAGGTTAAACCTGTGTAAGGTGCAAGCCTTCCAACAGTGCTACTGTGTTCCCTCTGGAAGGATGTCTCAAAACCTTCACTGAGCTACAGAGTCCTTCCAGTCCTTGCCTATCTTCTGTCTGAACATTTTCAGGTCACTCACCTGTCAGAGACCTCTGGCTACACTCAGTGCTGCCTGTGCTCAGCTGGCTGCCAGGGACAGGGCTTCTTGCTCCATCCCCCTGGGCAGTGTCACCACTACAGGCTGCAGCATCACCATCTTCTTCGTGCACCAATGTTTGTTCCTTTGGACCCAGATTTTGAAGTAAGTTTTTCTCCTTCACTGCTGGTAAGTGATGATGGGTTTGGCTCTTAGCAGCAGCTTTGCCTCTTCTTAATTTGCTTCGTGTTGTGGTGCTCTTTGGCCTGTTCTGAACCCTCTTTGTTGCCTCAGCATCCCCAGCCTTTTTCTTTGCCCCATTCAAAATATTTGCCCACAACTCTTTAAAATCACTGTCCTGTTCATCCATTGGCTTTCCAGGAACACTGTGAGGACTGGAGGGCAGGGGGAAGCACCAGAATCAGTTCAGATTTGCATCAGGCCTTCCAGCCCCTCAGAGATGTCCATTCTCCAGACTCCAGTAAGGTCACCAGACTTCCAACAGTTCATTCCTCCACACTTAATTCACATTCAGCAGAGCATGTTTTCTCTCCAAGGACCTCACCTGCTTTCACAAGCTGGTTCTTCAGAAGACTCTGGATCATAAGTTAGGCACCTCAGTTTGTGCAGAGCACGTGTAGGATCATCATGGTAAGCTACAGAGCTTCAGAGGGACAATTATGCAAGCCCTTAAACAAAGAAACAAAGCAGGTGGTCATGCACAATGGTACAGGCAGATGCACTGTGGGACAAGGTGTAAATTGCTGAAGGAGAAGTGAATTTGCATGAAATACTAAGATTAGAAACAGCACATATTGACCCCAAAGAGTGGCCCTATAATTGTACTACAGACATGCCCAAGCCACATCAGCAAAGGAGAGGAGAGATTTTAAAACAGGTATCTGCTGTGGGGTAGTTTTTTGTCTTGGAGCTCTGGATTCAGACAGTCCTTCTGTTATACACATTCCCACTTATATTTATATAGCACAAGAGCAGCAAATGCAGCAGGAAAAAAACCCATCCTTCAGCTCATGCAGTGATTCTGGACTGTTAAACTCTGCTTTGAGACATTACAGTTTCAGAGAAGAGAGCCAACCTCATTTGGAAAAGTAAATAAATGGAGTTTCTGGCATTTCAGAAGGGGTTTTAGGACAAGCCAGAGAACAATTCCATTAAACACGTTCACCTTTTCTCTCCTATTACTTACACAGTTGCTTACTTAGGATTAGCTCTCCTGCTCCTGCTGAATTCTTCCCCTGAGTACTCAATAAACCACAGCACTGATCATGTTTCCCAAACTGCTGTCACATATATGAGGTAAACAGACTAAATAAATAGTATTTTTAAATAAACTTCTTAATCTTTTCAGCTACAGCAAGAACAGCAGTACTAGGCAGGGATTACCTGGAACAGCAGTGGGTAGTGTCCAGATGGAAATGCCATCAACTCTCAGGCAACATTAAAACTAGAGCTCTATTCTTACATGTTTTCATTGTCCCCTTCTTCCTAGTCCTGAGTTCATTATGGTTCTGGCTATTTTACCAGGGGATTTTATTGCTCCCAAAACCTACTTCTTCCAAACCTAAACCAGAGTGTTTCACTTGGAATGGCAGCAGCTGTGGTCCAGTTACTCCAGTAAAGAGCACAGAAAGACTCAAAAAGCAGGAAAAACACACGGGGGATTGTTTTTTCAAATGGCTTGGCTGCAGACATGAGAGGCTGAGGAATGCTGGTTACACACTTCCATGGGTCAGCCTTTCCCATAAGCAATTACAGAAGTTAATGGATTTATTTATTTTAAACTCAGGCTCCCAGACCTGCAGAGGATTTTGCTGTGAATCTTGAAGTAATTTTCTGTTAGAGAGAAACAAAGGTTTTATGTAGCTGGTTTGTAAAATTACTTTTTCTGGACAGAACACTGGGGTAGTTATAACTGTAAATTGACCATTTTCTGCTAAGGAGGAGACAGTGTGTGGAGAAGTCCCAAATCTCACATCCTACATGGCTTTAGATTCCTCAGACACATCTGTACTGCTGGATTATTTATGGTGAGTTCCTGATATTAAACTTTGAAACAGATCAGCACTTTGGCATTTGCCATCAATGCTCAGTGTCCCAGGCAGATCAGATCAGACACACCTCTGATGCAGAACTAAGAATTTATCTGTATTCCTCCTCCCTTTCCACACCCACAGGTTCCTACTCTGTTCAACATCTCAGTATTTCTGAAGTTGCTGCTATTGCTGCCCCCAACAACCAGTTTTGGCACCAGCTTATGGAGCTCAAAAAGTAATGGTTTTGAAAGCAATTTCTTTCAGTATAATATTCAATTAATTTTGGAAGATTTTAGGACTCAACAAATCACAAATAAAATAATCAGCAGCACTTACCTGTTCACTGAGATGCCAAATCTATAGCCCAGCTGTGCCCTTCAAGTAAACATGGATCAGCAAAATGGTAGAAAGCAGGACCAGTAAGAACAAAAGATAGAGCCTGGAAAATGGAGGGAAAAGGATGGATTTAGTGTATTTTGAAAGGACTGTTCTTGATGATCCTTTGCACCACTTCAATAGGTACCTGATGGGAGCCTACAAAAAGATGGAGAGGGACTTTGGACAAGGGCCTGCAGTGACAGGACAAGGGGCAATGGCTTCCCACTGCCAGGGAGTAGGATTACATGGGATATGGGGAAGAAAATCTTCCCTGTGAGGGTGGTGAGGCCTTGGCATAGGTTGCCCCATCCCTGGAAGTGTTCCAGGCCAGGCTGGACAGGGCTTGGAGCAATCTGGAATAGTGGAAGGTGTCTCTGTCCAGAGCAGGGAGGGTGGAACTGGATGATCTTTAAAGTCCCTTCCAACTCAAGTTATTCTGTAATTCTATGATTTAAAAGTATTCACCTATTACATGCCTTCAATTTACTGCCTTGTAATTACTTAGTTAAATCATAAAACCCTTAAAAAACCCCTAACAGCTAAAACATCTGCTACCCTCCCACTTTTCAGAGCAGCCTCTCTTTTAACCCCTGAAAACATTTTTCCACCAGCAGTCCACCTTGACATGCTCTCAAACACACAACATTTGGGCCTGCTCACTTGCTGCTTTACACTCCCTGTCTGTTCCAGGAACAATCCTGCTGCCATTTCAGCCTCCAAGAACATGTCATCACCGTGGCTACAACAGCCCATCAGAGCTGGGCAGGCCTCCACAGCTTGCACACAGCAGATAACTTCTCCCTCCTGAGCACCACAGTGGTGCCTCAGCACATCTCCTCCTCAATCCCTCATCTTGAAAAAAAAAATTCATTTCATACTTCCAAAACCAGGAAAGCGCCTTGGAAGCAAGTATTTCACAAGAAATGCTAAGGGAAATTGGATTATTTAACATTAGAAAGTGAGGCAAAAACACAATTGAGTTATTGTCTGGGATCCCCAGCACAGGAAGGACATGGACCTGCTGGAGTGAGACCAAAGGAAGCCACCTTTCCACCCCACCCCTCCCTCCAGCTTCACCTCAGGCTTCAGAAGCCAGCTAATTGCCAGGGCCTGGATGACCCTGCCACTAATTACAGAGTGCTGGCAGCAGAAGATGATGGGATGCACCACTTGGGCTGCCACTGCAAGTTTCATCACCTTCTTCTCCTTTTGGGGAAGCTGCAGCCAAAGGTCTGAGGGTTACTGATAAAACTTCCAGTCAAGTCAGACCAAACACTGCAAAAGGGGAGAATTTCTGCAGTGTTTTTTCTGGCAGCTACACTGGAAGGTCTCTAGGGATTCCTCAAGACCAAATCTTGTAGCAAAAAATCTTCCTACTGGTTCTGAGGGAGAAGAACCTGCATGTCAGTGGTGTGACTTCTGAAAAAGCACATCATCCTCCATCCTTTTATGGATTCTTCACTAGGGCCTACACCACTAACCAACACCTTTATCACTACTTTATAAAGACATGACACTGCATCTGTACAGTGCAGGGTCTCTATGGCTGCAAAAGTGCAAAAAATTTAACACTGAGGAGAGCAGGGCTTGTTCTGTGAGGAGAGAACAGATGTGAGTGCAAAACACGACTCCAAAGAGGTACAACTCTCTTGTCCTGCTCTCTGCCAGCTTCCCTGTGCCAGAAAAAGGTAACAAAACCAGATGTGGAAAATAGGGAATGAGAAATTAATTCAAGGCTCTATAAACAAGAGAATGCTAGGTAGGAAAATCCTACTGAGACCCCAAGGAGCAATCTCAGCAGGGATGAGCATCAGTGTCCATCTGGCACCACCCCCTTCCATGTCTGATATCCCTTCAGTCCTCACACTTCTGTTCAGGGCTGCACCTCCCCCTGCCAGCACCTGCTCATACAGCAAAGCATTTCAAAGCATTTCACAGTCACTAAAACATCTATCACGTTCTAGACAGAATTTAAAATCACTACTTACACAACAAAGTGTCCCTCTACCAACTCGTCTCCAGAACAGAAAATTCACTTTATACCTCCTCTGGAAGGACAAAGGGGAAGTGAAGAGAAAAATAAAAACTACCAGTTGCTCAGGTGCAAATGCTCCTGGTTGTATGCAAATCACATGTATCAATCACAAAGAGAAGCAGCTGGTGATGCAAAAATCAAACTGGTTTCACTGAAAACAACAAGTTATTAATTTAAAGAGAATAATACAATTGGTTTTAAGGACCAAATAAAAACATTTCGGTAGAGGCCCCAAAAATCAATAAAGATACTTGATAAAAACTCACTTGGTTTTCAGAGAAGGAAAAGTAACCAGAGTGATAACAAAAACAAAGATGTAAAATAATATCATGGGGATGGAATTGGATTCTGAATACAAACAATGCAATATATTAAAACCAGGAGGTAATAAAATCACCTTGTCAGAAAAAGTTAAGGACTTTCAAAAAAGACCTTTTTTGGTGTACATGAAAACCAAGAAGTAAAACCTACCAAGGCCACTACATCAAACTGTGGCACTGTTAATCCTGCAAATACTAAATGTTTCCATAATATCCACCCCTGATGGTGCTGAAAGCAGCCTATTTTAGGAGCAGTCCAAAGCACACTGAAAAGCAGCTGCTGAAGGTGTTTCTGTCAACAGAATCAGATCATTTGCAAGCAGAAGTCACTGTGATTTTTCAAAAAGGACAATTAGGGAAGTAAACACCCATCTTGAGACTGAGCTCAACACCAGGCTGACAAAGAAAGGGCTCACATGGGAATTGGTGAATAAAGAGGGAAAATAAAATTAAGCCAAATCAACACAGTTTATAAAAACCCAGACCCACATTCAGCTAATAATGAGAGCTCTCTGTGTCATCAGAGGGGTAACTCTTCTACAAACCACTAAAGGAGTGTCAAGGGACAAACTGATTAATTAAAATCCAACAAAATCAATACAAGGCATTTAAAATTATTCAAATGCAGCCAGGTAGGTTTCCAAATGCAGCTGCAAACAGCTTGTAGTGCCACCCCACAGAGATCAACTCTCTGCCTGTCCTGCTTTTCTGTTCTTTCCCTTGGGAGCTGAGCTGGGAGAGACCCCAAGCACCAGGACCAGGCTGACAAGAAAGGGAACCCCTGGACAGCCCATCATTCTCCAAACCTCAGTGTGCCTCCTCCAGGTCCTGACTCCACTCCAAGGGGATAACTGTGGCCGTGTCAAGCAGCTCTGCTGTTTTGTAGATCGAGAATGGTGCAGTGATGTTTGTGGCAAAAGGATGAACTGAATAATTAATGAAAAAGTGAAAACAGAGAGAAGTAAGAACACTCCCATGTTAAACATTCAAGCCATTCCTTTGCAAGAAGGCAGTGTTATTCTGAAGTGTTATTCACTTACAACAAGGGCAGTTCTGCTGGCTTTTTCCCAAAATCATGCCTTCTGATTTGTGATTATGTTGAAGCCAAATATGAGGGGAAATTTAACAAAGTATCTTGATTTCTCTAAAACAGGAGGACACTCTATTTGAAAAGGTGACCAAATTCAAACCCATGGATTTCCTCAGCTGACCTGATAATGCACCTTTCACCTAACACTTCATTAATTCATAGCAATGAGTAACTTGCTCTCAGCTAAAATCACACACAAGAGCTACACCGAACCCCCAACACTGTGCATGTCATGGAAACTGACCAGTGGGAAAAGCAAAGACTCAAAAGAACCTGATGTCCATTTTCTTCCAAATGTAAAGCTCAAGGTAACAATTCTTTCTGTTTCCAGTTTGCCTCTGACACACCTTTACTGGAGTCCAGATCACTGCTCTCATCCAAGCACCAAAATCAAAGGGCAAAGAAGGCACCAAGACAGGAAGAACAGTATTTTAAACAGATATAAAAGCCAAACTCACAGGGGTCTTTTTTTGTAAACAAAACCCACTCTGTGATTTTTGAGAGTTCTTACAGAGCCAATACTGAGCAACAGCCAATGTTTAAAGCCTTTAGGCTTCACTGGAGTCAAACTGGTTTAGCCCAGCTGTAACTTTGGCTTTATCTAAAATCTGCCTGGTTAAAATAAACACCTGTGTGTCTGCAGGTTCAGGCACCAAGTGCTGTCACTACAGCAGCTGACTCTGCCTCCCTCCAAGGCAGGCCCATCACAGAACCATGGAATGCCTGGAATACCATGGAATTCCCACCCCCTGCCATGGCAGGGACACCTCCCACTGTCCCAGGCTGCTCCAAGCCCTGCCCAGCCTGGCCTTGGGCACTGCCAGGGATCCAGGGGCAGCCACAGCTGCTCTGGGCACCCTGTGCCAGGGCCTGCCCACCCTCACAGGGAACAATTCCTGCCCAAAAGCCCATCTGGCCCTGCCCTTGGGCAGTGGGGTGCCAGTCCCTCTTCACCCTCCTGACTATGCAGCTCCGTGTGCCCCCGAGCCTGGAAACCACAGACAAAATTCCACGTTGCTTCAGGAAGCAGCAACAAACGCATCAGCGCCGCTCTCCCGGGTCACCCTGTGGAAAGCAGCTCGCTTTGCAGCTGGGCCCGCTGAACGTTTCCAGCGAACGCTCAGGGAGGAGCTGCTGGGGCCGCTGGGGCCTCGCCCCCTCACCCGGCACAGCTCGGCCCTGCTCTGTGCCCGGATTCCTGCCCTTGCTGCCCGGGCTCAGCTCCCGCGGGGCCCGGGCTCCCTCAGCCCCACACGGGGCCGCCCGTGCGCCACTGTGACGTCATCGGTGACGTCATTCCGCCGACGCCACACCAGTGACGTAACGCGCGAGAGAGGCCAGCCGCGGGTCCAACGCCACCCCCTCCCCACCACCAGGTGGCGCCGCGCCGCGCTGAAAGCGCCGACGTCATGACGTCACTCACTCCCGCCCGCCGCCGCCGTTGTTGGGAGCGCTTCCATCCCGCCCGCCCGGCCGCCCCAGCCCGGGCAGGGCCCGCCGCCGCGGCCCGGCCGCCCACCCACCTGTCCGCCGCGCCCCGGGCTGGCGGCCCTGCCCGCGCCCCGCCGCCACGGCGGGGAGCCCCGGTGTGCGGCCGGAGCGCATGCGCGGGGGCTCCAGCCGTGTTGCTCCGTTCGCTGCTGGCGCCGTGCGCATGCGCAGATCCGGCCGGCGGGACGGTGAGAGGGCCATCTCCACGCTATCTGCGCATGCGCACAGGGTTCCCGCCAGCGGTTGTCATGGAGACCGTTCCCTCCCGCCCCCCCCTCCATTCCCCTCATGGGGCCGGGGAGCGCTCCCGTCCCTCGGCAGCGCCCCGGGGTCCGGGACAGTGCCCCTCGTCCCTCCCGGAGAACAGCCGGAGCCTCTCTCCGACGGGGCGGCGGTGTCTGCTGAGGAAAACCTCGCAGGAAGCGGGCGGCCCCGGCCACCGGCGGCGGCCCGGTCACCACGTCCCGCCTCACGGCCCCAACGAGCCGGGCGGGGACCTAAAATAAGAACAGGGAGGGCGTTTGATAAATTCCTTCGACCCGCCTGTCACTGAGGCAATGGCCAGAACACCACCGAAAGAGGAGAGCATATGGTACAGCACGGCTCGTTTGTATTTTTAAGGAGTTTCATTATATAGAAATCAAGCAATCTATCTATAAAAATATAAGTACAAGTTCTAAGTAGGGAGAGAAATACACAGCACCTGCTCGTGAGCACAAACTACCATTGAAAATCACTCGTTTCCACCTTAAAACCTCAGGCACACCTGTGGCGGCAGTGCAGCTGCAGCCAAAGCCATTACAACTGTGGTGTTTTGGGGTTGTAATCGATGCTGTGCTGCTCAGGTGGAAATTGATGGAAACACTGAAATTTCACGGTGAGCAGTGGCATAACTCAAGCTTTTCTGTCAAAAGAGCTTTGCCTTTTTATTTTGTGCCTTTTTCTGCCTGGGGTTGAGCAGGAAAACAAGTGCTCTACTCACTCCATTTAGCTCCTCAGGGCTCAGGATCCTCAGTGAGTATCACCTTAGAGGCAGGATCAGAAATAATTTCTTCCAAACCATTAGCTAATTGTGGCCAGAGGTTTGCAGGTGTAAAATCACCTGAGGTGGGGTGGGAGGGCTCATATGCTGGATCTGCATTTTGAATGTGATTGAAATTACAATTTCAGTGTTGAAATCAGATCTTCTTTCTCAATGCTCAGCCTGGCTGTGGCAAGAACCAAAACCACTCCTGAGCAGCACTTCATAACAGGCCAAGAGGCAGAGGAAAGAGGTTTAATGGTACACAGAGCACACTGGAACTTTAAAAACATCAAGACAGGCACTTTGCTAATAACTGCAAATCAGTCCTAATGGTGAACAAGGGGATGTCTCCTTTGCACATTACACTGTCCCATAATTACATCTCCATGATCTGACATCACCAAAAGAACCTGAGGCTGTTATGGCATTGCCTGTTTGGAAACCTCAAGAAAAAGAATCAACTACAACTTTTAGAATGAAATAAGCTCTTGAGGCACTGTGAGTTTTCATTTCCAGCAAAGCAATTTTAATTTTTAATTTGTTCAAACCATTTTAGCTGGAAACCCTTGGATTTCAAACAAAGAATGGTTATTTTGGCAGAACTGAGGGGTTTATTTTCTGCAGTGAGTCTCCCCCAGAGATTCAGCATGCCCCTGTCAGTGCAAAACTGATGAGAAGAAATCCTTTGGTTCGTGTCTTTCAACACTTCTGCTGGTTTATTCAAGTTCTTGCTCAAGTTGCTGCACTGATGGGAATGAGGAGCCCTCAGAAGAAAATCCTGCAAGCAGTTGCAAGTGCCTATTGCACAAACAGACTGAAAATACTCCAGTTGTGAACCAAGACACAGGAGCTACACCAAGGCACGAGAACATCTCGTTGCACAGGGCCCTAACCTGAGCTCAGAAGCACTCAAAAGCCAAATGAATTGTGCTGTTCCCAGAGCAGATGCACCCAAAAGCACTGGCACTTAGTGGTCCATCCTGGCTACCAAATGGCCACCTGTTTCACAGGACATTTAGGGCCATTCTTAAGGCACCAAGGACGTGCTTCTCTGGTCACTCTTTGTACCCAGCACCAGCTGGAGGATGCAGCAACAGTGGCAGGTACAGGGATGAGAAGCAGCCCTCCCAAAATCAGGCTGCTAATCTGACTTGCACCCCAATTTTTCAATAATTCACTTTTCCTCCCCCCCAGGGAACTGCTCTGTATCAGATACAACTCAGGGCTGCAGTGGTTTAGGCTCCAGAATGAAAATTTTGGTTTAATTTAATGTGTGCTCAGCCCTGAATTACAGCTGTGTAGTTGCAGGCAGGTCCCTGAAGCAGCAGCACTTGGGGCACACTGTGAGGGGCAGGATATTTACTGTCACCCTGGGGCTTGTGAACATTATTGCTGACATGAAAAGGTTTTCAAAATAACTGCTAGAATTGGCTGTGTAATGGGATTTGTAGTAAATATTATCTGCATATCTATGAGTACATAAATTACATATGATGCAGAATGTACATTTTCACCCCCAGTGTGCTGCAGTCAGCATTGCTCAAACTTTCTGTTTCACTTTCTGCTCAGTTCAAGAGCAGATCCCCTGCTCTCTGTTAAGACTTGTGACATGGTGGCTCTTTGGCATCTTCAGATGAACTTTTTTAAGCTTTTCAGACAAATGGATTCAGTCCAGGTCAGCAGTGATCAGAGAAGCAGCCACTGAGGCCAATTCCAATGAGGAAGGTTTGGGTTTGCACCAATTTCTTGTGTTAATCTCCCTTCTGGATGACAGAGCTTTGTGTAAACTCAGCACAAAGACTTGAAAGGACCAAGCAAAGAAAAATGCAGCATTTTCCTCAAAAGAAGCTTGGTTTGTTTTCCTGTCAAGTGTGAATTTTGGGATGGTACAGGCCACTATATCCATCTCCTCCTGTAAGCCTGCCAGGAAAATGAGCCTGTTTCCATTCAGTCACTCACATGGCACAAGTTTGAGCAGTATAAACCAAAATCCATCTGGTTCTCCTGGGGAGTGAAATGAATTATCATTTCCAAGAAGAATCACCATCATTCAGCCAGGGCACTGGGCATTAAAGAATCTCTGAACACATTCAAAATACAGTTCCCATCTAAAACCACTAATCCCTGTGCTTTGATTTCCTGAAGCATGGTGCAAGGTAATGTGGAACTCCTGTTTTATAAAATACCTGCTAAACTACTTGGGACAGAACAAGTCCAGGGATTGAGAAACAAAACTGCAGCTGAATCTGCCTCTGCCTCCTGCCACAGCTCTGACTTCCCAGGTTTCAAGGATTTAATGTGGCACAGTTCCATGAAGGACTGGTTTATTGATCTAGTTCTGGGCTGGGTTTTAACCCCAGTTGTGCCTCTTTTACCTGGGCTGCAGAAGGAGAACAAGCTCTGCTTGGCTCCTCAGACTCTTCTGGATTAACTGACCCCAAACCCCCTGCAGGTCCTGTCATGGCATTTGGAATAACACTGCGTGGATGTTTAATGGACAGCTCATTGCAATACCTTTTGCCATGTGGATTTAAACAGACAGGGAAACTGCTTCTTCCCCTAATTCTTCATCTTTCCTGCTGCTGTAAATAAATTTAACAATGAGGCCATCAGGAGTCTTTACAAATTTAAGTACTTACTGAAGCTTTTGGTCCCTGTGCTCCTGCCAGCTCTTCCATTTCTGCCAGGACTTAATGGCAGACTTTACTTATTCCCACTTGTTTGCATGTCAAACCAGTTCCAGGAGGGATGTGATGGGAAGAATTTTGTGATTTTAGGTTAAATTCTTGCTAGAAGGAGCTCTAGCACCAAGGAACACTGGTTTATCCTGGGAGAATGAGTGTCCAGGCAGAGAAAATCCTCTCCTGGCCTGGGCTGCATCAAACCACAACATCAGCCATAGAGGGCCCCAGGGAAGATGCAGGTGAAGTGTAAAGGGAGGTAACAGAGAAACAAAAGATTCTGAAAACAGAGAGAGAACAAATTATTTTTTTTCCCTAGAAGAAAACCTGCTGATGAAAGAAAGGAAGACCCATGTTTCGCTCAGTCCAGAAGCATCAGGAGGTGAGCAGTTCCGGGTAGAGAGCAAAACAGATTTTAGCATCCTTTTCTTCCCAAACAATAGGGGGGAAAACCAGCTGGAAAGGACTTACTACAGGACAATTCCAATAAGCAGCCAAACTTCCACAGATTCTCTGAAATCTCAGGAATTTTTGAGCCCAGGAGTTATTGGGAAAGAACATGATTTCAGTGGGTAAGGTTTGGGCAGACCTAGAACTGCCCTGGGAGGAACTTTCACTGAGCAGAGTGTTGGGCAGAGCCTTTTGAAGGTGCTGTAAATTTTGTTTACTGCCTCATCCAATCCAGCAGGTCCTTTTTCTCATGCCTCTGGATCCTGGAGGGGTCTGTTTCACATAGTGCTCGGATTCTGGAGTCCTGTGCTGTGCCCTTAATGCAGATTGACTGTGTCTCTTAAGGAAATCTATTTAAGCTCCATGCAGACCCTATTTGTACAGTAAGAATAATTCTGACTCACTTCACAACAAGAGCAGGAAGATTAATTAATAACTTCAGAAGTGCTAAACATTATTAATGGCTCCCAAGTTTTCTCTCTTGGAGACAGTGGCCATTTCTTCCCATAATGTTTTAAACAGTTGCTGCTCAAGGAGCTTAAGAGTGCAGATTCCTGGCTTGTGGTTTATCCATAAATCACAGACCTGGAGCCTACCCAAGACACTCTTGATGGTCTTAGCAGGAAGTCTGGACAAGAGAAAACTGTTCTCAGTCTGGCCCCTGAACCACTTCATGGCCAGTCCAGTTTCAACGTCCCACACCAGACAGGAGAGGGATTCTGTCCAAGTTTGAAAGCACGAGGTCTCCAGAATGTCCTTTCAAACTGCATTTCACTCCCCATATTTTTTTTTTCCATCTTCTGCCCTGGAGAATATAGGTTTGATTTCACAGCTGATGAGCCTGGGCAGGGCAGGAGAGGAAGCCACGCTGTTTATCACCAATGGCTTTTCAGCACACAAAGTTTAACTTGTAGAGAAAAATTAACAACCCCCCCTCTCAAAACCCCAGGAACCTAATGCAAAATAAGGTCAGAAAAAAAAAAAAATTAAATCCAGTAGATCAATTTTCTGCACAAAGCAACATTGTTTACAGGAAACTATTTACCAAAGAGCCTCTGTTGTGTTTTCAGACACGGAATCATCATCCAGACAGCAGCTACAGAGCAACTTGCCTGTGTTCCTATCAGCACTTCAGTTTGTGTTCATCAACATGATGCCATAGATCCACCTTTTCCACTAGGATCTGCTCTGTTAGCCAGGAATATCATCCTCACACACCAGCATTCCCTGCAGATGTTTGCAAAATAAAAGGGAGAGCTGAGTCCCAGAGGTGAGGATCCAGTGGCTCGGACAAAGCAGCGTGAACATGTGAGATTTGGGCCCAAGCACCCTCCTGATCCTGCTGCTGTGGCTCCTTGCTGCATCACCTCCTCTCACCACGTTTGATGGGCACAGGGACACAGGGTAGGTGTGCACTCCAGTAACAGACATCCTATTGGACATTTTATTCACAAATCCCTCATGGCAAACAATGAGCACCTGAAGGGCTGCTGGGATTCCTGGAGGATTCACAGGATGGGGAGGTTAAAGATGTGTCAGGCACTTCATGGCCAGCTCACTCCAAGCACACTCTGCTTCTCAGTGCAGCAAAGGTTGAAAGCTGGGATTCCTGGAGGATTCACAGGAAGGTTAAAGATGTGTCAGGCACTTCATGGCCAGCTCACTCCAAGCACACTCTGCTTCTCAGTGCAGCAAAGGTTGCAAAGCAGCATCCAGCCTCAGCTCATTTTATCAACTCTCCTATTTTTAGGCACTTTATCAGGTGTGCAGCTTGCAGGATACCACACTCATCTGCTGTGCTGCTCACAGCACAAATCTCCAAAGGTTTTATTTGCTTCAGTCCATGTTACAATCACAGAATCATTTGTGTTGGGAAAGATCCTCAAGTCCAGCCATTAACATAGCACTAGCCCATGTCCCAAGTGCCACATCCACATGTCTTTTGAATCTCTCCAGGGATGGTGACTCCACCACTGCCCCAGGCAGCTGTGCCAGTGCCTGACCACCCTTTCAGTGAAGGATTTTTCCCAATATCTGATCTGAACCTGTCTTGGCATAACCTTGATTGAGGCCATTCTCTCTCATCCTATTCCCTAGGAACAGAGCCTGACTCCCACCTGGCTGTCCCCTCCTGTCAGGAGTTGTGCAGAGCCAAAAGGTCCCCTTGAGCCTCCTTTTCTCCAGGCTGAGCCCCCCCAGCAGCTCCAGCCCTTCTCCAGCTCTGTTCCCTTCTGTGAACATGCTGCAGCCCCTCAATGTCTTTTCTTGTTGGGAGGGACCAGGACTGCCCCAGGGCTGGAGGTGCCTCAGCAATGCTCAGGGGGACAGTCACTGCCCTGGTCCTGCTGGCACAATGTTCCTGACAGGATGTATCACCAGTGCTGTAGGATGGAGAAGATGGCTCCTTGATTGTCTCAGCACCCTCTAAACTGTCACTATTTTTTTCCTCTTCTGGATCTGAATAAAAATAAAATGTTAGGTGATGTTAAACTGCTCATATGGTCCCCCAAGCTGCAGGAATTTTTCACTCCTCTGTGTACAGCCAGGCTTCCTGTAGCTTAAAGAGCTGGAGGTTGTCCTGTCCATCACAGCTCCAAAACAGTTAACCAAACCCAGTCCCAGCATCTTAATCTGGCAATTTAAAGATAAGCTACACAAATACCAGGGCTGCTCAGAGCCCCACTGAGCAGGGAAAGGATTCTTATAAACCATTTGCATGGTTACTGTAAAGCAGACACAGAGGGAATCTAGCATGGCACTTCTGTGTGAACCACCACTGCTTGATTCAAACCAAGGGCCACATCCCATCTTCAGAGACAAAACTAGCAGGGTTCACAGCTACACATTCTCCTGCTTTCCCATCCCGTAAAGCAGACACAGAGGGAATCTAGCACTTCTGTGTGAACCACCACTGCTTGATTCAAACCAAGGGCCACATCCCATCTTCAGAGACAAAACTAGCAGGGTTCACAGCTACACATTCTCCTGCTTTCCCATCCCTCTCCTGCCACCATGTCCAGTCCTTGATGCTCTGAAGAACCAAACAGCATCTGAAGAGAGACAAACCAACATCACCAGCTGGAAGACAAAGACCAACAAAATGAAGAGGAGAGTGAAGTGGGGGGATGTCTGGAAAACAACAATGTTTATTTATCATAAATACAGATCAGCTAGGTGTGCAGTTTATCTCACAGACTCTCCAGAAAGCCACACAGTAGAAAGCTGCCTCCCAGTTACTTCCCTTTTTTCACAAGACCAGGATGAACTCACTTATGCAGCAGCTCAGTGATCTTTTCTGCCATGGGATTGCACTGACATGTTCCACCAACAGTATCTGTGTCTGCCAAAGGCAGCAAGCTGTCTCTATGCCAGCAAACTCCTCCTGCCTGGTCAGACCTGGAGGTTTCTAAACTAATTAATTGATTTTTCCAGTGCTGGTTCAGAGCACAAAGGTGAGCAGGGATTTTGTGGATAGGGGGGTGTATTGACAGATCTAACAGGGGATCTTGCTGGCAACATCTGTTTTGAGAAAGACCATTTTTAGAAACAGTCTGAAATGAGGCTCTTCAGGCTCATGTCAGAAATTTGGGCACATTATTTAAGCAACAACCTCTGGATTTTGTCCCCACTAAGAGCACTGCTCTTTGAACAAGCTGATGACGTGGGATCTGATAATTACAGGTGGCTCCTCCCCGTGCAGGGAGGGCTGGATGTTCCCAGCACTCTCCCTGCCCTCTGCCCATGAACCTGTGCTGGACAGTGCCTGCAAGCAGCTGCTGAGTGGCTGTGCCAGAGGCATGAGGTCAGCACAGAGTTCATCCTTCAGTCCCTGGGGCTCAGTTCTTCTCCACGATTCTGGTGAGGAGTTCATTCAGCCGGTTCACCATTGGCCTGGGATCCTCATTCAGTCCTGCTGCAATCATGGCATTCTCATAAATCTGAAAACAATAAGAAAGCACTAAATAAGCACCAAAGCAACCTGCCTGAGGGAGGAAGGGAGTGTCCCTCCCAGGACCTGCATGCTGAAACCAAGAATGTCTTCTAGGGCACCTGCTAGGAAAACATCAATCACAAGTCCCAGAAATACCCAGGGACCACAGAAGGATGTGACTTCTGCCCACTGTAATGGTTCATCCTGTTCCCTGCCATGCATGGTCTGCAAGCTGGTTCTGGGAAGGATGGTGCTGCTTTTGGAGAAGGTCTGGCTCTCACCTGGTCGAGCAACATCTGGGCCAGATCAGGCTGACTGTCCTTCAGCTCGCTGAGCTTCTTAATCAGAGCATGCCTGTAAGAGAGAGATCAACACTGAGACTTGCTGGTTTAGGACACAGTGAGAAATTTATTTCCAGAATGAGCAGCTAAGTCACAGTGGGTCACCAAAGTCAACTTCCTTGCTCCTGTTCTGGGGACTTCTCTCTTCTATCTGTCCCTACAACCCCCATGGTCCCCAGAGGACTGCACAGTGTGTGGGGGCACATTGAAGGTGCCACACAGCCTCACAGATTAAGGCTCTGTGGCACTGACTGCACTTAATGGGGAGGACTCTGCTAACTGGCAGCCTTACACTGCCTCCTCTCTGCCTCCACTTCTGAGAGGCTGCTGTGTCCCAGGGCTGGTGCTGTCCCCCCTTACCCGGTGTTGATCTCCAGGGTGGGCTGCAGGAGCTGGGCTCGCTCCTCCTGGCTCTTGGCCAGCTGCTGCATGCGCAGGAAGTGGCGGGCAGCGCCCATCTCCAGCACGGTGATCATGGCAGGGTGCGTGTCCAGCTGCGTGGTCACCTGTGCACAAGCACCAGTCAGGGCCGCCATGGACAGTGCACATCCAGAATGCAAAAAGGTCATCTGAGGTGTGCAAGATCCCAACAGTCCTGCTTGCCCCAAATTATAGAGGCCTGCAGTAAAATTGGCAGCCCTGAACACATAGCTACCACTCAAGCAAATACTCTGGGAGAGAGACTTGAAAAAGCTTTCACAAATCAAACAGAAGTGAAGGATGACAAACTTGCAAAAACCCTTGATGTCCTCAACTCAGCACTTCAGCAGAACAATATGAGGCATCACAAAATGAGACTTCCAAAAGACTGTGGAAAGCCTGGACATGTGGGAAAGTCTGAGGACTTGGAGTCTCCTCAGCACAGATCCACACCAAGCCTTCACATGATTCATTTCCATCCCACAGGACCTGCCTAACCCAGCAGGAAAGATGGGGGCCCAAATGGCCCCACAGTCCCCAGGCAGTGGGCTGCAGGACCCAAAGCATTCCTTGCCAATACACCTTTCTAGTCCACAAGCAAGAAAAGTCACCAGCCTGTTCTGGTAACCTGAGCATCAACTGCAATATGGGCTTTTCTCAATACAGATTGAGATGTGCTGCTTCTGCTGCCACACTGACCATCCAATGACAAATGCCCTCCAATGACAAATCCACACCACTCACACACAGGAGGCAGGAGAAGAATGTCTTCCCACAGGGTCCAAAAAAAAATCTGTGGCAGCAGATCCCCAACCACCTATCATCCTTTTTCCCTGGATCATTACCTCTGTGGATCTCCTGTACTCAGTTACCCACCTTCACCCCAGTGACTCGAGAGCCTAAGGCATTCCTCATCCAGGCCATCAGATCCTCAGCCTCCTTCTCTGTCAGACGTTCTCCAGCTGGCAGGGAAAGAGGGCACATCTGAGTGTGTGTGCAATGGACAATGAACTGAGTCTCTGCACTTCCATTTCACACTTTTATTTATCAGTTGTCTTGTGGGAGTGGGAGTACAGCACCACTCAGCACACACCTACATATCCTCATCCCAGACCATGCCATACCCAGAGAGGGCAGGGTCACACCTTGCCAGGGGCTGCCTGCCTCTGTCTGGGCACCAGATGTATGCATGGGGTTCATGTATGAAATAAAATCATGGCAACTCCACACATGACATTCCATTGAACTTTGATCATGTGAGATGAACCCAGTCTGCAAAAACTCTGAGCTGCCTCAGACCATGAGAATGGGAGGGTGGAAGGCTCTTGCAAGAGCAGGGGAGGAAGGTGTCCCCTCCCTGCTTGCTCAGGGTAGCAGGGCAGAGTGCAGCAGGAGGGGACAGGGGAGCCTCACAGTACCTGGGCGGCTCTCCTCAAACTTCTCTTCCTTGTAGTGATCAACAACAATGTCTGTCTCCACAGAGATCAGCTTCTTCTTGTCAAACTCCCGGAGGTGCAAGAGTGTCAGCTCATCAAACTGCTCATAGCAGAACAGCACCTGTGCCAACAAAGGGACAGCAACACGTTTGGGGTGTAAGAGCATTCCGTCCTTCCCAAGGAGCTCCGTACCAAACAGCAGGAACATCACAGAGGAAACTCACAGCTTCAACCCCACAGTGACTGTCACTCAGGGCCTGACATGAAAGC